GAGACTTAAGGAAAGGGGAGATGATGTTAGCTGGTATCAGGGTAGAGGATGCAGAAGATGAGACTAAATGAACACTGATGATGTGTCGTGTAAACCCTGAAGGGAAGAGCAAACAGACAAGAGGATGGGTGTCAAAAACGGTGGGTGGCACCCCTGATGAAGGAAGCTTAAAGTGACAGTGTGTATTTTCTCTGGTGATAGGTGCAGTAGACACCTGAATCACTGCAAGCAAGCATTATGTTTGTGCTCAATTAAGACATTTCTAACGGATGGCCATTAGGGTCAAAAAACCATGGGAGTGCAACCTCCAGCAAAATAACAAGAACATCAGATTCTCTTTCATCGCTGGCAACCAGTGAAGAAGTAAATGTGTAAAGTAACAATTTCTATTAATGGTGAAGGTTTTGTAACCATTTGTTACGAAACAATAAATGCATTTTGTCCTCACAGACTTCATAGAAGGAAACATGGCATCCATTATGGTGTTGCCCAGAGACTTAGACCCGCTCCATGTATTTTAGAACAGATTTTTATGGTTTTATGTGATGAAATTGCCAATATTTTTTAACAGCTGGTCACCTTTGAAGTCATTTACTATAACATGTTGATGGATATTTCCAGAGATTAATGGTAAAAAAACTACATATTGTCACTTTAATGTTTTCTTCCAAGTATATGTGTTGTGAAAAGGCAAATTCAAAGTGACTAGTTGACAGTTTTTTTTGTTTGTGTTTTTTTTTTGTTTTTTTACATTCCAAAATACCCACTACGTTGCTGTTACAGTTTTTTACAGACGTTAGGACCCATTTCTCAATACTAATGTCACTTTTGCTAGACACTTCACACAGTTCTCCTAACTGAGTTTCAGCTTGGCAAAACAGTTCATTCCACATTCAAAATGCACTACAACCACCAAAACACTTCATTCAGGTCTCAAATAAACACATTCCTCCAGAACACCAGCAAAGGTTGACAGCCGACAAACACACTTTGTCACCCACAAAACAAAGACCTAAAAAACACAAACAACATGTAGCGTTACATTTCCTTGTGTAAAACAAGGACACATCTCTGTTCATACTTCCAATAGATGTTACTGGAATGAATCAGACATGATGCAGCATTAGTCAATATTTCATGTTGTTAATTTATTTTTAATGGTATTTGTTTTTGCACTAAGTACTTCCAAAACACAAGACTTTGTAAACACAACATCCACTGATACAGATTCAATATGCTAATCTACTCGGTCTTCTCCATTTGGCCACAGGTTCTCATCCACATCACATCTTATGTCATCTAGGGCAATACACCTAGGAAAGAATCTTCTGGCATGCCTGATCCATCCCTGGCAATCTACTGCTGGTATGTCCAGGCATACAGCATACATTGCATCCAGAAGGGACATTTGCTCATGTGGATGATGATCGTTCACTTTCCACCGCCATGAGGCAAAGAATTCCTCTATGGGGTTGAGGAATGAAGAGTAAGGTGGGAGGAAAAGTGACTCCATTCTGGGATGGGCCACAAACCACTCTGTGACTGCATGGGAGTGCTGAAATGCCACATTGTCCCATACAATTATATATGTTGGCTGATTCCGTCTGTCCACATCCCTTTCCTCACCTAGCACAACCCTTCCATAGAGATCATGCAGGAACGCAAGGAGCCGTCCAGTGTTGTATGGCCCAGTTACTGGTCTCTGTAACAGCAGTCCAGTGGATATTGCTTCACACATTGTGATGTTGGCACCCCTCTGGCCCGGGACATTCACTGTGGCTCTCTTCCCAATCACATTCCTCCCTCGTCGCCGTGTTTTGGCCAAGTTGAAACCTGCATCATCCACATAGATGAAAATGTGGTGTGTTTGCATGCCTTCAATCTCCATGACTCTCTGAAAACAACCCACAAGGCAACATAAGCTGTGGCTGGTTAAACTGCATTTATGTTTCAATAACATGTTGCTGTTGGATTTTGCTGTCATATTCAGTTTTGCAGTATGTTATGGTTTTGAACATAAGTTTTACAGTTTTGTGAACAGTATGTGAGCAATTGCAAAATGTCCTGTTAGTACAATGATTTTTGGCAGTTGTTGTGTCTGAGTGAGAAGGGACTTCATGACATTTGAGAGATGTAGTCACTCAATGCATTTTGTGCCAAAGCAATGATAATTGATCCTCAGTTTGGCCCACATAGACTTCTGTTGTGCACACTGTATGTAGAGTTTTGCAAATGTGACCTAAGTATTGAGAAATGGGTCCTAACGTCTCTAAAAAAAACTGTAAATGAAAAGACAAAGCAGACTATTTTCTTTTATCAGCATCTCTTGAGCTCCATCTATTGGTCACACTGGTTCCTTCAGAACTGCAGCTGATGCACCTTAACTCTGCTCAACTCATCATCAATCTACCAATACAGATTGTTTTTGCCCACCTGGTGATGCCATGGCTCTTCTCAGTATTTCTGAGAAGTAAATGTTTTTTCTCCGCTTTCTCAGTCATGTCCTATGCACATCAGTTTCTAGTTGCCCCTGTTTTCCACTGACAAAAAGACTATTTTTGTTAATCAGTGGCACCACCAAGTGGAAACCAAAAGGAGCTCTAGCCACCTTCTACATCTTCTTTCTAAGTGGTGAGTGTGCTCTGGTCTGCTCAGAAGCACGTTGGGACAGTTCTCAACATAAATCAGGGATATTCAACATGCTGGCTTGTCTTTCCCAGATTTCATGAACAAATGAGCATGCTGCCTGTTCAGTCTGGCCTGTAGCCAATCACAAAGCGAGGTGATAGAAGCATGCTCTTCCTCCGTGGTTTTTCTTTACTTCAAAGTCACGTTTGATCCTCAGAGGTTTCGAGAAAATCCCGTCTGACAGAGGAGTGTGCTGTTTGGCCGCCAACACTGTTATATGAAAAGAAGGGCCGTCTCGAAAACAAGATGGAAGTGGCTTTGTCCTCCTAAAATATATGTAAATAAACAAATAAATATTAATGATTTTATATATATTCATCGTTTATCTTGTCTAAAGTCATAAATTTTAAAGTGCTGCCATACACCTTACCTAAGTAAGTAAGGCAAGGCAGCTTTATTTATAGAGCACATTTCAAACACAGAGGCAATTCAGTGTGCTTTACAATTATCAGGCGTGATATGAAAACAACATAAAAACACAAATTAAAATACACATGGATAGAATTATAGTTTAGAGCTAAAGTAGAAAACAAAGTTACAGAACGTTTATACAAAGTAAACTTTTATTTGAAAACGAGGACATGCACGATGTTCCATTGACCAAGACAAAATAGGAAAGATGCTTGGTGCCAGATTATATCATAAATAGTTTGAGATTCAAATTCCTGGGCACAAACATATCAGAGGACCTCACATGGACACACAACACCAAATGTCTGATAAAGAAGGCCCTAACCCTAACTCTATACTTCCTGAAGGCTCTCAGGAAGATCAACCTGCCACAAAAACTGATGGCATGGTTTTATCACTACTCCATAGAGTGTCCTGACCAACAGCATCCTGGTGTGGTACAGCAGCAGCTCTGCAGCTGACAGGACAGTCCTGCAGAGAGTTATCCAAACTGCAGAGACAATAACAAACACACACCTACCTGCCCTGGATGACATCTCCACCACTTGCTGCCTTCGGAAATCCACAAACATCCTAAAGGACTCAACCCACCCTGCTAAACATTTCATCAAACTTCTTATAAAAAACACGCACCGCCAGGCTGTTAAACAGCTTTTATGCAAGAGCCATCACTAAATTGAATGTTGTTGCTAGGTCACACTAACAGTGATTCTGCTGGACAATTAGAGCACTAGAGCACCTTTACATTAAACTAGCTAATCCAGATACCTCAACATGTGAATGTACATTTATATTATGTTCACTTTAGATTTCAGTTTGTAGTTTAGACTTGTCTTATTACCACTTTTACATTTATTCCTGATGACCCTCATGTTTTTAAACCCACTGTTTGCACTTGTCTTTGTCAGATCTTCGTCTTGTCTTAGTGGTGTATCCTACTTACCATTATTCATATTTAACCGTTTTTTTTTTTTTTTTTTTTTGCCATCCAATTTACCTCCTGTTCCTGCTCGGTCCTACTGCAACCACCACCACTTCATGACAATTAGCTAACCACCACATGTTTTTGTCTTTGACTGTCCATTGTGTGGGCATTATTGTTTCCTGTAATAATAGAATCAAAAATCACTATCTGATTTTGAACATCTAAATTTAAAGCATAACATATGCACTGTTTTTGACCGAAAGTGTTGGATGAAGTCTAAAAAACAGTAGCTTAGATTAATAAAACTGAAGAGCAACAAAGTGAAACATTTTGGTAAATCAACCAGAAAATGTTTGTCTTGTCTGTTAAGACAAGGCAATAAATCTAGTTGAACAATAGCATGTAAATACAAAAGATGGTTGGGGCAGAGTGGTGTCAGGTGGGTGTGTTTGTGAGGACGGCATATTTTCGTACAAACTATGGACAATTTTAATTTGTGGTACATCCTATTGTTCTGATTCAATAGATATTGTGCCCCATTGTATGATGAATAAAATCAAAATCAGTTGAACCATTAATTTTTTTATTATTTACTGATATTAATGTATGAAGTCAGCAAGACATTCTAAATGAAGGTTACAGATTTTGCCTCATAATGCACAGCAAATGTTTTACACCGTGTCAGTATTTAACACAAAAATATTTTTTAAACCTATACAATTACAAAATTTTTGACTTATACAATAGTTAAAATTAACATTTTCTAGTTGGATATTTACATATTATTTACAAAGAAAAAAATATGATAAATATAAATAAATATTGACGAATTCCATAGACTGTTAATGATATTTAAAAGGTGTACTAGTCCAATCTCTAATTCCAAATAAATGCTGTCAAAACTGCTATGACCAAAAGGAGGCTTGCGTTGTGATGGGATGCTGCAGAAACGGTTGTTTTGGCAGTGGTGGTAGTTCTAGTGGAAGCTGTCGTTAGAGTAGTGGCTTTGGTTGAAGTAGTGGTTGTAGAGGAAGTTGTTGGAGTAGTGGCTTTGGTTGAAGCAGTGGTTGTAGTGGAAGCTGTCGTTAGAGTAGTGGCTTTGGTTGAAGCAGTGGTTATAGTGGAAGATGTTGTTGGAGTAGTGGCTTTGGTTGAAGTAGTGGTTGTAGAGGAAGTTGTTGGAGTAGTGGCTTTGGTTGAAGTAGTGGTTGTAGAGGAAGTTGTTGGAGTAGTGGCTTTGGTTGAAGCAGTGGTTGTAGTGGAAGCTGTCGTTAGAGTAGTGGCTTTGGTTGAAGCAGTGGTTGTAGTGGAAGCTGTCGTTAGAGTAGTGGCTTTGGTTGAAGCAGTGGTTGTAGTGGAAGTTGTTGTTGGAGTAGTGGCTTTGGTTGAAGCAGTGGTTGTAGTGGAAGTTGGTGTTGGAGTAGGGGTTAAGGTTGAAGCAGTGGTTGTAGTGGAAGCTGTCGTTAGAGTAGTGGCTTTGGTTGAAGCAGTGGTTGTAGTGGAAGTTGTTGTTGGAGTAGTGGCTTTGGTTGAAGCAGTGGTTGTAGTGGAAGCTGTCATTAGAGTAGTGGCTTTGGTTGAAGCAGTGGTTGTAGTGGAAGTTGGTGTTGGAGTAGGGGTTAAGGTTGAAGCAGTGGTTGTAGTGGAAGCTGTCGTTAGAGTAGTGGCTTTGGTTGAAGCAGTGGTTGTAGTGGAAGTTGGTGTTGGAGTAGGGGTTAAGGTTGAAGCAGTGGTTGTAGTGGAAGTTGGTGTTGGAGTAGTGGTTAAGGTTGAAGCAGTGGTTGTAGTGGAAGCTGCTGTTAGAGTAGTGGCTTTGGTGGAAGCAGCAGTTGTTGTACTAGGAGTAGCTGTGGTTGTCATTGGAGCTATGGGGGTTGTAGTTGGAGTTGCTGTGGCTGGAAACATTGTGGTTGTAGTTGTTGCAGCTGTGGTTGTAGTTGTTGCAGCTGTGGTTGTAGTTGTAGTAGAAGCAGCTGTGGTTGTAGTTGTTGCAGCTGTGGCTGTGGTTGGAGAAGCTGATGTAGTTGTAGCAGCAGTGGATAAAGTTGAAAGAGCTGTGGTTGTAGTTGGAGAAGTTATGGTTGAAGTTGTTTCAGGTGTAGTTGGAGCAGAGGTTGTTATAGTAGGAGTTACTGCGCTTGTCTTTGGAGCTACGGTGGTTTTAGTTGGACCTGTTGTGGTTGTGGCTGAAGCTGCTGTTGTTGGAGTTAGAGCAGCAGTTGTTGTGGTTGTAGTTGTTGCAGCTGTAGTTGTACTTGAAGTTGTAGTAGGAGCAGTTGTGGTTGTAGTTCTTAGAGTTGTAGTTGGAGCAGCAGCAGTTGTAGTAGGAGCAACTGTAATTGTAGTAGGAGCAGCCGTGGTTGTCGTTGAAGAAACGGTGGTAGTAGTTTGAGCTGCTGTGGTTGTAGTAGGAACAGCCGTGGTTGTAGTTGTTGAAGCTGTAGTTGTAGTTGGAACAGCAGTGGCTTTCGTGGGAGCAGTTGTGGTTGTATTTGTTGCAGCTGTAGTTGAAGCAGCAATTGTTGTAGTAGGAGCAGCTGTGGTTGTGGTTAACGATACGCTGGATGTAATTGAGGCTGTTGTTTTCGTGGTTGGAGCAGTTGTGGTTGTAGTTGTAGCAGCTGTGGTTGTGGTTGGAGTGGCTGTGGTTATAGTTGTTACAGGTGTAGTTGGAGCAACAGTTGTTGAAGTAGGAGTCACTGTGGTTGTTGTTGGAACTACAGTGGTTGGAATTGGAGCTTCTATGGGTGTGGCAGCAGCTGCACTGGTTATGGCTGGAGCTGCTATAATTGTAGTAGGAAAAGCAGTGGTTGTGGTTGTAGTTGTGGCAGATGTAGTTGTAGGTTGAACAGCAGTTGTGGATGGAGCAGCTGTGGTCGTACTTGCTGCCGCTGTGGTTGTAGCAGGAGCAGCTGTGGTTGTGGTTGGAGCAGTTGTGGTTGTAGTAAGAGCAGTTGTGGTTGCAGTTGGAGCTGCTGTGGTTTTTGCTGGAGCTGCTGTGGTTGTAGTTGGAGCTGCTGTGGTTGTAGTAGGAGCAGATGTGGTTGTAGTAGGAGCAGTTGTGGTTGTGGTTGGAGCAGCTGTGGTTGTTGTTGGAGCTGTTGTGGTTGTAGTAGGAGCAGATGTGGTTGTAGTAGGAGCAGTAGAGGTTGTAGTAGGAGCAGTTGTGGTTGTAGTTGGAGCAGCTGTGGTTGTTGTTGGAGCTGCTGTGGTTGTAGTAGGAGCAGATGTGGTTGTAGTAGGAGCAGTAGAGGTTGTAGTAGGAGCAGATGTGGTTGTAGTAGGAGCAGCTGTGGTTGTAGTTGAAGCAGCTGTGGTTGTAGTAGGAGCAGATGTGGTTGAAGTAGGAGCAGTTGTGGTTGTAGTTGGAGCAGCTGTGGTTGTAGAACGAGCAGATGTGGTTGTAGTAGGAGCAGTTGTGGTTGTAGTTGGAGCTGCTGTGGTTGTTGTTAGAGCTGATGTGGTTGTAGTAGGAGTAGATGTGGTTGTAGTAGGAGCAGTTGTGGTTGTAGTAGGAGCAGATGTGGTTGTAGTAGGAGCAGTTGTGGTTGTAGTTGGAGCAGCTGTGGTTGTTGTTGGAGCTGCTGTGGTTGTAGTAGGAGCAGATGTGGTTGAAGTAGGAGCAGTTGTGATTGTAGTAGGAGCAGCTGTGGTTGTAGTTGAAGCAGCTGTGGTTGTAGTAGGAGCAGATGTGGTTGAAGTAGGAGCAGTTGTGGTTGTAGTTGGAGCAGCTGTGGTTGTAGAACGAGCAGATGTGGTTGTAGTAGGAGCAGATGTGGTTGTAGTAGGAGCAGATGTGGTTGTAGTAGGAGCAGATGTGGTTGTAGTAGGAGCAGTTGTGGTTGTAGTTGGAGCAGCTGTGGTTGTTGTTGAAGAAGCTGTGGTTAAAGTAGGAGCAGATGTGGTTGTAGTAGGAGCAGTTGTGGTTGTAGTAGGAGCAGTTGTGGTTGTAGTTGGAGCAGCTGTGGTTGTTGTAGGAGCTGCTGTGGTTGTAGTAGGAGCAGATGTGGTTGTAGTAGGAGCAGTTGTGGTTGTAGTTGGAGCAGCTGTGGTTGTTGTTGGAGCTGTGCTGGTTGTAGTAGGAGCAGATGTGGTTGTAGTAAGAGCAGTTGTGGTTGTAGTAGGAGCAGCTGTGGTTGTTGTTGGAGCTGCTGTCGTTGTAGTAGGAGCAGTTGTGGTTGTAGTAGGAGCAGCTGTGGTTGTAGTTGAAGCAGCTGTGATTGTAGTAGGAGCAGATGTGGTTGTAGTAGGAGCAGTTGTGGTTGTAGTTGGAGCAGCTGTGGTTGTTGTTGGAGAGGCTGTGGTTGTAGTAGGAGCAGCTGTGGTTGTAGTTGAAGCAGCTGTGATTGTAGTAGGAGCAGATGTGGTTGTAGTAGGAGCAGTTGTGGTTGTAGTTGGAGCAGTTGTGGTTGTTGTTGGAGCTGCTGTGGTTGTTGTTGGAGCTGTTGTGGTTGGAGTAGGAGCAGTTGTGGTTGTAGTAGGAGCAGCTGTGGTTGTAGTTGAAGCAGCAGTGGTTGTAGTAGGAGCAGATGTGGTTGTAGTAGGAGCAGTTGTGGTTGTAGTAGGAGCAGTTGTGGTTGTAGTTGGAGCAGTTGTGGTTGTTGTTGGAGCTGCTGTGGTTGTTGTTGGAGCTGTTGTGGTTGGAGTAGGAGCAGTTGTGGTTGTAGTAGGAGCAGCTGTGGTTGTAGTTGAATCAGCAGTGGTTGTAGTAGGAGCAGATGTGGTTGTAAAAGGAGCAGTTTTGGTTGCAGTAGGAGCAGATGTGGTTGTAGTAGGAGCAGTTGTGGTTGTAGTTGGAGCAGCTGTGGTTGTTGTTGGAGCTGCTGTGGTTGTAGTAGGAGAATATGTGGTTGTAGTTGGAGCAGCTGTGGTTGTAGTTGGAGCAGCTGTGGTTGTTGTTGGAGAGGCTGTGGTTGTAGTAGGAGCAGCTGTGGTTGTAGTTGAAGCAGCTGTGATTGTAGTAGGAGCAGCTGTGGTTGTTGTTGGAGCTGTTGTGGTTGTTGTTGGAGCTGTTGTGGTTGTAGTAGGAGCAGTTGTGGTTGTAGTAGGAGCAGTTGTGGTTGTAGTTGGAGCAGTTGTGGTTGTTGTTGGAGCTGCTGTGGTTGTTGTTGGAGCTGTTGTGGTTGGAGTAGGAGCAGTTGTGGTTGTAGTAGGAGCAGCTGTGGTTGTAGTTGAAGCAGCAGTGGTTGTAGTAGGAGCAGATGTGGTTGTAGTAGGAGCAGTTGTGGTTGCAGTAGGAGCAGATGTGGTTGTAGTAGGAGCAGTTGTGGTTGTAGTTGGAGCAGCTGTGGTTGTTGTTGGAGCTGCTGTGGTTGTAGTAGTAGAATATGTGGTTGTAGTTGGAGCAGCTGTGGTTGTAGTTGAAGCAGCTGTGGTTGTTGTAGGAGCTGCTGTGGTTGTAGTAGGAGCAGTTGCGGTTGTAGTAGGAGCAGCTGTGGTTGTAGTTGAAGCAGCTGTGGTTGTAGTAGGAGCAGATGTGGTTGTAGTAGGAGCAGTTGTGGTTGTAGTTGGAGCAGCTGTGGTTGTTGTTGGAGCTGTTGTGGTTGTAAATGGAGCAGTTGTGGTTGTATTTGGAACTATTGTGGTTGTAGTAGGAGCAGTTGTGGTTGTAGTTGGAGCTGTTGTGGTTGTAGTAGGAGCAGTTGTGGTTGTAGTAGGAGCAGTTGTGGTTGTTGGTGGAGCAGTTGTGGTTGCAGTTGGAGCAGTTGTGGTTGTTGTTGGAGCTGCTGTGGTTGTACTTGGAGCAGTTGTGGATGTAGTTGGAGCTTCTGTGGTTGTAGTTGGAGCAGCTGTGGTTGTGGTTGCAGCAGTTGTGGTTGTGGTTGGAGCTGCTGTGGTTGTAGTAGGAGCAGATGTGGTTGTAGTAGGAGCAGTTGTGGTTGTAGTAGGAGCAGATGTGGTTGTAGTAGGAGCAGCTGTGGTTGTAGTTGGAGCAGCTGTGGTTGTTGTTGGAGCTGCTGTGGTTGTAGTAGGAGCAGTTGTGGTTGTAGTAGGAGCAGCTATGGTTGTAGTTGAAGCAGCAGTGGTTGTAGTAGGAGCAGATGTGGTTGTAGTTGAAGCAGCAGTGGTTGTAGTGGGAGCAGATGTGGTTGTAGTAGGAGCAGTTGTGGTTGTAGTTGGAGCAGCTGTGGTTGTTGTTGAAGAAGCTGTGGTTGTAGTAGGAGCAGATGTGGTTGTAGTAGGAGCAGTTGTGGTTGTAGTTGGAGCAGCTGTGGTTGTTGTTGGAGCTGCTGTGATTGTAGTAGGAGCAGATGTGGTTGTAGTAGGAGCAGTTGTGGTTGTAGTAGGAGAAGATGTGGTTGTAGTTGGAGGAGCTGTGGTTGTTGTTGGAGCTGCTGTGGTTGTAGTAGGAGCTGTTGTGGTTGTAGTTGGAGCAGCTGTGGTTGTTGTTGGAGCTGTTGTGGTTGTAGTAGGAGCAGCTGTGGTTGTAGTAGGAGCAGTTGTGGTTGTTGTTGGAGCTGCTGTGGTTGTAGTTGGAGCAGTTGTGGTTGAAGTTGGAGCAGTTGTCGTTGTTGTTGGAGCTGCTGTGGTTGTAGTAGGAGCAGTTGTGGTTGTAGTAGGAGAGGCTGTGGTTGTTGTTGAAGAAGCTGTGGTTGTAGTAGGAGCAGATGTGGTTGTAGTAGTAGAAGTTGTGGTTGTAGCAGGAGCAGATGTGGTTGTAGTTGGAGCAGCTGTGGTTGCTGTTGGAGCTGCTGTGGTTGTAGTAGGAGCAGTTGTGGTTGTAGTAGGAGCAGCTGTGGTTGTAGTTGAAGCAGCAGTGGTTGTAGTAGGAGCAGATGTGGTTGTAGTAGGAGCAGCTGTGGTTGTAGTTGAAGCAGCAGTGGTTGTAGTGGAAGCAGATGTGGTTGTAGTAGGAGCAGTTTTGGTTGTAGTTGGAGCAACTGTGGTTGTTGTTGAAGAAGCTGTGGTTGTAGTAGGAGCAGATGTGGTTGTAGTAGGAGCAGTTGTGGTTGTAGTTGGAGCAGCTGTGGTTGTTGTTGGAGCTGCTGTGGTTGTAGTAGGAGCAGATGTGGTTGTAGTAGGAGCAGTTGTGGTTGTAGTAGGAGAAGATGTGGTTGTAGTTGGAGGAGCTGTGGTTGTTGTTGGAGCTGCTGTGGTTGTAGTAGGAGCTGTTGTGGTTGTAGTTGGAGCAGCTGTGGTTGTTGTTGGAGCTGTTGTGGTTGTAGTAGGAGCAGCTGTGGTTGAAGTTGGAGCAGTTGTCGTTGTTGTTGGAGCTGCTGTGGTTGTAGTAGGAGCTGTTGTGGTTGTATTTGGAGCAGCTGTGGTTGTTGTTGGAGCTGTTGTGGTTGTAGTAGGAGCAGCTGTGGTTGTAGTATGAGCAGCTGTGGTTGTAGTAGGAGCAGTTGTGGTTGTTGTTGGAGCTGCTGTGGTTGTAGTTGGAACAGTTGTGGTTGTAGTTGGAGTAGCTGTGGTTGTTGTAGGAGCTGCTGTGGTTGTAGTAGGAGCAGTTGCGGTTGTAGTAGGAGCAGCTGTGGTTGTAGTTGAAGCAGCTGTGGTTGTAGTAGGAGCAGATGTGGTTGTAGTAGGAGCAGTTGAGGTTGTAGTTGGAGCAGCTGTGGTTGTTGTTGGAGCTGTTGTGGGTGTAGTTGGAGCAGTTGTGGTTGTAGTTGGAGCTGTTGTGGTTGTAGTAGGAGCAGTTGTGGTTGTAGTAGGAGCTGTTGTGGTTGTAGTTGGAGCAGTTGTGGTTGTAGTTGGAGCTGTTGTGGTTGTAGTAGGAGCAGTTGTGGTTGTAGTAGGAGCAGTTGTGGTTGTTGGTGGAGCAGTTGTGGTTGTAGTTGGAGCAGTTGTGGTTGTTGTTGGAGCTGCTGTGGTTGCACTTGGAGCAGTTGTGGATGTAGGTGGAGCTGCTGTGGTTGTAGTTGGAGCAGCTGTGGTTGTGGTTGCAGCAGTTGTGGTTGTGGTTGGAGCTGCTGTGGTTGTAGTAGGAGCAGATGTGGTTGTAGTAGGAGCAGTTGTGGTTGTAGTAGGAGCAGCTATGGTTGTTGTTGAAGAAGCTGTGGTTGTAGTAGGAGCAGATGTGGTTGTAGTAGGAGCAGTTGTGGTTGTAGTTGGAGCAGCTGTGGTTGTTGTTGGAGCTGCTGTGGTTGTAGTAGGAGCAGATGTGGTTGTAGTAGTAGCAGTTGTGGTTGTAGTAGGAGCAGTTGTGGTTGTAGTTGGAGCAGCTGTGGTTGTTGTTGGAGCTGCTGTGGTTGTTGTTGGAGCTGCTGTGGTTGTAGTAGGAGCAGTTGTCGTTGTAGTAGGAGCAGTTGTGGTTGTAGTAGGAGCAGCTGTGGTTGTTGTTGAAGAAGCTGTGGTTGTAGTAGGAGCAGATGTGGTTGTAGTAGGAGCAGTTGTGGTTGTAGTTGGAGCAGCTGTGGTTGTTGTTGGAGCTGCTGTGGTTGTAGTAGGAGCAGATGTGATTGTTGTTGGAGCTGTTGTGGTTGTAGTAGGAGCAGCTTTGGTTGTAGTAGGAGCAGTTGTGGTTGTTGTTGGAGCTGCTGTGGTTGTAGTTGGAACAGTTGTGGTTGTAGTTGGAGCAGCTGTGGTTGTTGTAGGAGCTGCTGTGGTTGTAGTAGAAGCAGTTCTGGTTGTAGTTGGAGCTGTTGTGGTTGTAGTAGGAGCAGATGTGGTTGTAGTAGGAGCAGTTGTGGTTGTAGTTGGAGCAGTTGTGGTTGTTGTTGGAGCTGTTGTGGTTGTAGTAGGAGCAGTTGTGGTTGTAGTTGGAGCTGTTGTGGTTGTAGTAGGAGCAGTTGTGGTTGTAGTAGGAGCAGTTGTGGTTGTTGTTGGAGCAGTTGTTGTTGTAGTTGGAGCAGTTGTGGTTGTTGTTAGAGCTGCTGTGGTTGTAGTAGGAGCAGTTGTGGTTGTTGTTGGAGCTGCTGTGGTTGTAGTTGGAGCATTTGTGGTTGAAGTTGGAGCAGTTGTCGTTGTTGTTGGAGCTGCTGTGGTTGTAGTAGGAGCTGTTGTGGTTGTATTTGGAGCAGCTGTGGTTGTTGTTGGAGCTGTTGTGGTTGTAGTAGGAGCAGCTGTGGTTGTAGTATGAGCAGCTGTGGTTGTAGTAGGAGCAGTTGTGGTTGTTGTTGGAGCTGCTGTGGTTGTAGTTGGAGCAGTTGTGGATGTAGTTGGAGCTGCTGTGGTTGTAGTTGGAGAAGCTGTGGTTGTGGTTGCAGCAGTTGTGGTTGTGGTTGGAGCTGCTGTGGTTGTAGTAGGAGCAGATGTGGTTGTAGTAGTAGCAGTTGTGGTTGTAGTAGGAGCAGATGTGGTTGTAGTAGGAGCAGCTGTGGTTGTAGTTGGAGCAGCTGTGGTTGTTGTTGGAGCTGCTGTGGTTGTAGTAGGAGCAGTTGTCGTTGTAGTAGGAGCAGTTGTGGTTGTAGTAGGAGCAGCTGTGGTTGTAGTTGAAGCAGCAGTGGTTGTAGTAGGAGCAGCTGTGGTTGTAGTTGAAGCAGCAGTGGTTGTAGTGGGAGCAGATGTGGTTGTAGTAGGAGCAGTTGTGGTTGTAGTTGGAGCAGCTGTGGTTGTTGTTGAAGAAGCTGTGGTTGTAGTAGGAGCAGATGTGGTTGTAGTAGGAGCAGTTGTGGTTGTAGTTGGAGCAGCTGTGGTTGTTGTTGGAGCTGCTGTGGTTGTAGTAGGAGCAGATGTGGTTGTAGTAGGAGCAGTTGTGGTTGTAGTAGGAGAAGATGTGGTTGTAGTTGGAGCTGCTGTGGTTGTTGTTGGCGCTGCTATGGTTGTAGTAGGAGCAGTTGTGGTTGTAGTAGGAGCAGCTGTGGTTGTTGTTGAAGAAGCTGTGGTTGTAGTAGGAGGAGATGTTGTTGTAGTAGGAGCAGTTGTGGTTGTAGTTGGAGCAGCTGTGGTTGTTGTTGGAGCTGCTGTGGTTGTAGTAGGAGCAGATGTGGTTGTAGTAGTAGCAGTTGTGGTTGTAGTAGGAGCAGATGTGGTTGTAGTAGGAGCAGCTGTGGTTGTAGTTGGAGCAGCTGTGGTTGTTGTTGGAGCTGATGTGGTTGTAGTAGGAGCAGTTGTCATTGTAGTAGGAGCAGTTGTGGTTGTAGTAGGAGCAGCTGTGGTTGTAGTTGAAGCAGCAGTGGTTGTAGTAGGAGCAGATGTGGTTGTAGTAGGAGCAGCTGTGGTTGTAGTTGAAGCAGCAGTGGTTGTAGTGGGAGCAGATGTGGTTGTAGTAGGAGCAGTTGTGGTTGTAGTTGGAGCAGCTGTGGTTGTTGTTGAAGAAGCTGTGGTTGTAGTAGGAGCAGATGTGGTTGTAGTAGGAGCAGCTGTGGTTGTTTTTGGAGCAGCTGTGGTTGTTGTTGGAGCAGTTGTGGTTGTAGTAGGAGCTGTTGTGGTTGTAGTAGGAGCAGTTGTGGTTGTAGTAGGAGAAGATGTGGTTGTAGTTGGAGCTGCTGTGGTTGTTGTTGGCGCTGCTGTGGTTGTAGTAGGAGCAGTTGTGGTTGTAGTAGGAGCAGTTATGGTTGTAGTTGGAGCAGTTGTCGTTGTTGGAGCTGCTGTGGTTGTAGTAGGAACTGTTGTGGTTGTAGTTGGAGCAGCTGTGGTTGTAGTAGGAGCAGTTGCCGTTGTTGTTGGAAATGCTGTGGTTGTAATTGGAGCAGTTGTCATTGTTGTTGGAGCTGCTGTGGTTGTAGTAGGAGCTGTAGTGGTTGTAGTTGGAGCAGCTGTGGTTGTTGTTGGAGCTGTTGTGGTTGTTGGTGGAGCAGTTGTGGTTGTAGTTGGAGCAGTTGTGGTTGTTGTTGGAGCAGTTGTGATTGTAGGAGGAGCAGTTGTGGTTGTTGGTGGAGCAGTTGTGGTTGTTGTTGGAGCTGCTGTGGTTGCACTTGGAGCAGTTGTGGATGTAGTTGGAGCTGCTGTGGTTGTAGTTGGAGCAGCTGTGGTTGTGGTTGCAGCAGTTGTGGTTGTGGTTGGAGCTGCTGTGGTTGTGGTTGGAGCTGCTGTGGTTGTAGTAGGAGCAGATGTGGTTGTAGTAGGAGCAGTTGTGGTTGTAGTAGGAGCAGCTATGGTTGTTGTTGAAGAAGCTGTGGTTGTAGTAGGAGCAGATGTGGTTGTAGTAGGAGCAGTTGTGGTTGTAGTTGGAGCAGCTGTGGTTGTTGTTGGAGCTGCTGTGGTTGTAGTAGGAGCAGATGTGGTTGTAGTAGTAGCAGTTGTGGTTGTAGTAGGAGCAGTTGTGGTTGTAGTTGGAGCAGCTGTGGTTGTTGTTGGAGCTGCTGTGGTTGTCGTTGGAGCTGCTGTTGTTGTAGTAGGAGCAGTTGTCGTTGTAGTAGGAGCAGTTGTGGTTGTAGTAGGAGCAGCTGTGGTTGTTGTTGACGAAGCTGTGGTTGTTGTAGGAGCAGATGTGGTTGTAGTAGGAGCAGTTGTGGTTGTAGTTGGAGCAGCTGTGGTTGTTGTTGGAGCTGCTTTGGTTGTAGTAGGAGCAGATGTGATTGTTGTTGGAGCTGTTGTGGTTGTAGTAGGAGCAGCTTTGGTTGTAGTAGGAGCAGTTGTGGTTGTTGTTGGAGCTGCTGTGGTTGTAGTTGGAGCAGTTGTGGTTGTAGTTGGAGCAGCTGTGGTTGTTGTAGGAGCTGCTGTGGTTGTAGTAGGACCAGCTGTGGTTGTAGTTGGAGCAGCTGTGGTTGTTGTTGGAGCTGCTGTGGTTGTAGTAGGAGCAGTTCTGGTTGTAGTAGGAGCAGCTGTGGTTGTAGTTGAAGCAGCAGTGGTTGTAGTAGGAGCAGATGTGGTTGTAGTAGGAGCAGTTGTGGTTGTAGTTGGAGCAGCTGTGGTTGTTGTTGAAGAAGCTGTGGTTGTAGTAGGAGCAGATGTGGTTGTAATAGGAGCAGTTGTGGTTGTAGTAGGAGCAGATGTGGTTGTAGTAGGAGCAGCTGTGGTTGTAGTTGGAGCAGCTGTGGTTGTTGTTGGAGCTGCTGTGGTTGTAGTAGGAGCAGTTGTGGTTGTAGTTGGAGCAGTTGCCGTTGTTGTTGGAGCTGCTGTGGTTGTAGTAGGAGCTGTTGTGGTTGTAGTTGGAGCTGCTGTGGTTGTTGTTGGAGCTGTTGTGGTTGTAGTAGGAGCAGCTTTGGTTGTAGTAGGAGCAGTTGTGGTTGTTGTTGGAGCTGCTGTGGTTGTAGTTGGAGCAGTTGTGGTTGTAGTTGGAGCAGCTGTGGTTGTTGTAGGAGCTGCTGTGGTTGTAGTAGGAGCAGTTGCGGTTGTAGTAGGAGCAGCTGTGGTTGTAGTTGAAGCAGCTGTGGTTGTAGTAGGAGCAGATGTGGTTGTAGTAGGAGCAGTTGTGGTTGTAGTTGGAGCAGCTGTGGTTGTTGTTGGAGCTGTTGTGGTTGTAGTAGGAGCAGTTGTGGTTGTAGTTGGAGCTGTTGTGGTTGTAGTAGGAGCAGTTGTGGTTGTAGTAGGAGCAGTTGTGGTTGTTGGTGGAGCAGTTGTGGTTGTAGTAGGAGCAGATGTGGTTGTAGTAGTAGCAGTTGTGGTTGTAGTAGGAGCAGATGTGGTTGTAGTAGGAGCAGCTGTGGTTGTAGTTGGAGCAGCTGTGGTTGTTGTTGGAGCTACTGTGGTTGTAGTAGGAGCAGTTGTCGTTGTAGTAGGAGCAGTTGTGGTTGTAGTTGGAGCAGCTGTGGTTGTTGTTGGAGCTGCTGTGGTTGTAGTAGGAGCAGATGTGGTTGTAGTAGGAGCAGCTGTGGTTGTAGTAGGAGAAGATGTGGTTGTAGTTGGAGCTGCTGTGGTTGTTGTTGGCGCTGCTGTGGTTGTAGTAGGAGCAGTTGTGGTTGTAGTAGGAGCAGTTGTGGTTGTAGTTGGAGCAGTTGGCGTTGTTGTTGGAGCTGCTGTGGTTGTAGTAGGAGCTGTTGTGGTTGTAGTTGGAGCAGCTGTGGTTGTTGTTGGAGCTGTTGTGGTTGTAGTAGGAGCACCTGTGGTTGTAGTAGGAGCAGTTGTCGTTGTTGTTGGAAATGCTGTGGTTGTAGTCTGAGCAGTTGTCGTTGTTGTTGGAGCTGCTGTGGTTGTAGTAGGAGCTGTTGTGGTTGTAGTTGGAGCAGCTGTGGTTGTTGTTGGAGCTGTTGTGGTTGTAGTAGGAGCAGCTGTGGTTGTAGTAGGAGCAGTTGTGGTTGTTGTTGGAGCTGCTGTGGTTGTAGTTGGAGCAGTTGTGGTTGTAGTTGGAGTAGCTGTGGTTGTTGTAGGAGCTGATGTGGTTGTAGTAGGAGCAGTAGCGGTTGTAGTAGGAGCAGCTGTGGTTGTAGTTGAAGCAGCTGTGGTTGTAGTAGGAGCAGATGTGGTTGTAGTAGGAGCAGTTGTGGTTGTAGTTGGAGCAGCTGTGGTTGTTGTTGGAGCTGTTGTGGTTGTAGTAGGAGCAGTTGTGGTTGTAGTTGGAGCTGTTGTGGTTGTAGTAGGAGCAGTTGTGGTTGTAGTAGGAGCAGTTGTGGTTGTTGGTGGAGCAGTTGTGGTTGTAGTTGGAGCAGTTGTGGTTGTTGTTGGAGCTGCTGTGGTTGCACTTGGAGCAGTTGTGGATGTAGTTGGAGCTGCTGTGGTTATAGTTGGAGCAGCTGTGGTTGTTGTTGGAGCTGTTGTGGTTGTAGTAGGAGCAGCTGTGGTTGTTGTTGGGGCTGTTGTGGTTGTAGTAGGAGCAGCTGTGGTAGTAGTAGGAGCAGTTGTGGTTGTTGTTGGAGCTGCTGTGGTTGTAGTTGGAGCAGTTGTGGTTGTAGTTGGAGCTGCTGTGGTTATAGTTGGAGCAGCTGTGGTTGTAGTAGGAGCAGCTGTGGTTGTAGTTGAAGCAGCTGTGGTTGTTGTTTGAGCTGCTGTTGGTGTAGTAGGAGCAGATATGGATGTAGTAGGAGCAGTTGTGGTTGTAGTAGGAGCAGATGTGGTTGTAGTAGGAGCAGCTGTGGTTGTAGTTGGAGAAGCTGTGGTTGTTGTTGGAGCTGCTGTGGTTGTAGTAGGAGAAGTTGTGGTTGTGATAGGAGCAGTTGTGGTTGTAGTTGGAGCAGTTGTGGTTGTTTTTGGAGCTGCTGTGGTTGTAGTAGGAGCTGTTGTGGTTGTAGTTGGAGCATCTGTGGTTGTTGTTGGAGTTGTTGTGGTTGTAGCAGGAGCAGCAGTGGTTGTAGTAGGAGCAGTTGTGGTTGTTGTTGGAGCTGCTGTGGTTGTAGTTGGAGCAGTTGTGGTTGTAGTTGGAGCAGCTGTGGTTGTTGTTGGAGCTGTTGTGGTTGTAGTTGGAGCAGCTGTGGTTGTTGTTGAAGAAGCTGTGGTTGTAGTAGGAGCAGATGTGGCTATAGTAGGAGCAGTTGTGGTTGTAGTTGGAGCAGCTGTGGTTGTTGTTGGAGCTGTTGTGGTTGTAGTAGGAGCAGATGTGGGTGTAGTAGGAGCAGTTGTGGTTGTAGTAGGAGCAGTTGTGGTTGTAGTAGGAGCAGATGTGGTTGTAGTAGGAGCAGCTGTGGTTGTGGTCGGAACAGCTGTGGTTGTAGTAGGAGCAGCTGTGGTTGTAGTTGGAGCAGTTGTGGTTGTAGTTGGAGCAGCTGTGGTTGTAGTTGGAGCTGCTGTTGTTGTAGTAGGAGCAGCTGTGGTTGTAGTAGGAGCAGATGTGGTTGTAGTAGGAGCAGTTTTGGTTGTAGGTGGAGCAGCTGTGGTTGTTGTTGGAGCTGCTGTGGTTGTAGTAGGAGCAGCTGTGGTTGTAGTAAGAGCAGATCTGGCTGTAGTAGGAGCAGTTGTGGTTGTAGTTGGAGCTGCTGTGATTGTAGTAGGAGCAGTTGTGATTGTAGTTGGAGCAGCAGTGGTTGTAGTAGGAGCAGATGTGGTTGTGGTCGGGGCTGCTGTGCTTGTAGTAGGAGCAGTTGTGGTTGTAGTTGGAGCAGCTGTGGTTGTGGTTGGAGCAGCTGTGTTTGTAGTTGGAGCTGCTGTGGTTGTAGTAGGAGCAGCTGTGGTTGAAGTAGGAGCAGATATGGTTGTAGTAGGAGCAGTTGTGGTTGTAGTTGGAGCAGCTGTGGTTGTAGTTGAAGCAGCTGTGGTTGTAGTAGGAGCAGATGTGGTTGTAGTAGGAGCAGTTGTGGGTGTAGTTGGAGCAGCTGTGGTTGTTGTTGGAGCTGCTGTGGTTGTAGTAGGAGCAGATGTGGTTGTAGTAGGAGCAGTTGTGGTTGTAGTTGGAGCAGCTGTGGTTGTAGTTGAAGCAGCTGTGGTTGTAGTAGGAGCAGATGTGGTTGTAGTAGGAGCAGTTGTGGGTGTAGTTGGAGCAGCTGTGGTTGTAGTAGGAGCAGTTGTGGTTGTAGTTGGAGCTGCTGTGGTTGTAGTAGGAGCAGATGTGGTTGTAGTAGGAGCAGTTGTGGGTGTAGTTGGAGCAGCTGTGGTTGTTGTTGGAGCTGCTGTGGTTGTAGTGGGAGCAGTTGTGGTTGTAGTTGGAGCTGCTGTGGTTTTAGTAGGAGCAGCTGTGGTTGTAGTTGGAGCTGCTGTGGTTGTAGTTGGAGGAGCTGTGGTTGTAGTTGGAGCTGCTGTGGTTGTAGTTGGAGCAGTTGTGGTTGTAGTAGGAGCAGTTGTGGTTGTAGTTGGAGCTGCTGTGGTTGTAGTAGGAGCAGATGTGGTTGTAGTAGGAGCAGTTGTGGGTGTAGTTGGAGCAGCTGTGGTTGTAGTTGAAGCAGCTGTGGTTGTAGTAGGAGCAGATGTGGTTGTAGTAGGAGCAGTTGTGGGTGTAGTTGGAGCAGCTGTGGTTGTAGTTGGAGCAGTTGTGGTTGTAGTTGGAGCTGCTGTGGTTGTAGTAGGAGCAGCTGTGGTTGTAGTTGGAGCTGCTGTGGTTGTAGTTGGAGGAGCTGTGGTTGTAGTTGGAGCTGCTGTGGTTGTAGTAGGAGGAGATGTGGTTGTAGTAGGAGCAGTTGTGGTTGTAGTTGGAGCAGCTGTGGTTGTAGTTGAAGCAGCTGTGGTTGTAGTAGGAGCAGATGTGGTTGTAGTAGGAGCAGTTGTGGGTGTAGTTGGAGCAGCTGTGGTTGTTGTTGGAGCTGCTGTGGTTGTAGTAGGAGCAGTTGTGGTTGTAGTTGGAGCTGCTGTGGTTGTAGTAGGAGCAGATGTGGTTGTAGTAGGAGCAGTTGTGGGTGTAGTTGGAGCAGCTGTAGTTGTTGTTGCAGCTGCTGTGGTTGTAGTGGGAGCAGTTGTGGTTGTAGTTGGAGCTGCTGTGGTCGTAGTAGGAGCAGCTGTGGTTGTAGTTGGAGCTGCTGTGTTTGTAGTTGGAGCAGTTGTGGTTGTAGTAGGAGCAGTTGTGGTTGTAGTTGGAGCTGCTGTGGTTGTAGTAGGAGCAGATGTGGTTGTAGTAGGAGCAGTTGTGGGTGTAGTTGGAGCAGCTGTGGTTGTTGTTGGAGCTGCTGTGGTTGTAGTGGGAGCAGTTGTGGTTGTAGTTGGAGCTGCTGTGGTTGTAGTAGGAGCAGCTGTGGTCGTAGTTGGAGCTGCTGTGGTTGTAGTTGGAGGAGCTGTGGTTGTAGTTGGAGCTGCTGTGGTTGTAGTTGGAGCAGTTGTGGTTGTAGTAGGAGCAGCTGTGGTTGTAGTTGGAGCTGCTGTGGTTGTAGTTGGAGGAGCTGTGGTTGTAGTTGGAGCTGCTGTGGTTGTAGTTGGAGCAGTTGTGGTTGTAGTTGGAGCTGCTGTGGTTGTAGTTGGAGCAGTTGTGGTTGTAGTAGGAGCAGCTGTGGTTGTGGTTGCAACAGTTGTGGTTGTGGTTGGCACTGCTGTGGTTGTAGTTGGAGCTGCTGTGGTTGTAGTTTGAGGTGCTGTGGTTGTAGTTGGAGCAGCTGTGGTTGTAGTTGGAGCTGCTGTGGTTGTAGTTGGAGGAGCTGTGGATGTAGTTGGAGCTGCTGTGGTTGTAGTTGGAGCAGCTGTGGTTGTAGTTGCAGCAGCTGTGGTTGTAGTTGGAGCTGCGGTGGTTGTAGTAGGAGCAGCTGTGGTTGTAGTTGGAGCAGCTGTGGTCGTAGTTCGAGCAGCTGTGATCGTAGTTGGAGCAACTGTGGTTGTAGTAGGAGCAGCTGTGGTTGTAGTTGGAGCAGCTGTGGTTGTAGGTGGAGCTGCTGTGGTTGTTGTTGGAGTAGCTGTGGTTGTAGTCAGAGCTGCTGTGGTTGTAGTTGGAGCTGCTGTGGTTGTAGTTGGCGCTGCTGTGGTTGTAGTTGGAGCTACTGTGGTTGTAGTTGGAGCTGATGTGGTTGTAGTTGGAGGAGCTGTGGATGTAGTTGGAGCTGCTGTGGTTGTAGTTGGAGCAGCTGTGGTTGTAGTTGCAGCAGCTGTTGTTGTAGTTGGAGCTGCGGTGGTTGTAGTAGGAGCAGCTGTGGTTGTAGTTGGAGCAGCTGTGGTCGTAGTTGGAGCAGCTGTGATCGTAGTTGGAGAAACTGTGGTTGTAGTAGGAGCAGCTGTGGTTGTAAGTGGAGCTGCTGTGGTTGTAGGTGGAGCTGCTGTGGTTGTAGTTGGAGTTGCTGTGGTTGTAGTTGGAGTAGCTGTGGTTGTAGTTGGCGCTGCTGTGGTTGTAGTTGGAGCTGTTGTGGTTGTAGTTGGCGCTGCTGTGGTTGTAGTTGGAGCAGCTGTGGTTGTAGTAGGAGCAGCTGTGGTTGTAGTTGGAGCTGTTGTGGTTGTAGTAGGAGCAGCTGTGGTTGTGGTTGCAGCAGTTGTGGTTGTGGTTTGAGCTGCTGTGGTTGTAGTTGGAGGTGCTGTGGTTGTAGTTGGAGCAGCTGTGGTTGTAGTTGGAGCTGCTGTGGTTGTAGTAGGAGCAGCTGTGGTTGTGGTTGCAGCAGTTGTCGTTGTGGTTGGAGCTGCTGTGGTTGTAGTTGGTGCTGCTGTGGTTGTAGTTGGATGTGCTGTGGTTGTAGTTGGAGCAGCTGTGGTTGTAGTAGGAGCAGTTGTGCGTGTAGTTGGAGCAGCTGTGGTTGTTGTTGGAGCTGCTGTGGTTGTAGTGGGAGCAGTTGTGGTTGTAGTTGGAGCTGCTGTGGTTGTAGTAGGAGCAGCTGTGGTTGTAGTTGGAGCTGCTGTGGTTGTAGTTGGAGGAGCTGTGGTTGTAGTTGGAGCTGCTGTGGTTGTAGTAGGAGCAGCTGTGGTTGTAGTAGGAGCAGATGTGGTTGTAGTAGGAGCAGTTGTGGTTGTAGTTGGAGCAGCTGTGGTTGTAGTTGAAGCAGCTGTGGTTGTAGTAGGAGCAGATGTGGTTGTAGTAGGAGCAGTTGTGGGTGTAGTTGGAGCAGCTGTGGTTGTAGTTGGAGCTGCTGTGGTTGTAGTAGGAGCAGTTGTGGTTGTAGTTGGAGCTGCTGTGGTTGTAGTAGGAGCAGATGTGGTTGTAGTAGGAGCAGTTTTGGGTGTAGTTGGAGCAGCTGTGGTTGTTGTTGGAGCTGCTGTGGTTGTAGTGGGAGCAGTTGTGGTTGTAGTTGGAGCTGCTGTGGTTGTAGTAGGAGCAGCTGTGGTTGTAGTTGGAGCTGCTGTGGTTGTAGTTGGAGGAGCTGTGGTTGTAGTTGGAGCTGCTGTGGTTGTAGTTGGAGCAGTTGTGGTTGTAGTAGGAGCAGTTGTGGTTGTAGTTGGAGCTGCTGTGGTTGTAGTAGGAGCAGATGTGGTTGTAGTAGGAGCAGTTGTGGGTGTAGTTGGAGCAGCTGTGGTTGTGGTTGCAGCAGTTGTCGTTGTAGTTGGAGCTGCTGTGGTTGTAGTTGGTGCTGCTGTGGTTGTAGTTGGAGGTGCTGTGGTTGTAGTTGGAGCAGCTGTGGTTGTAGTAGGAGCAGATGTGGTTGTAGTAGGAGCAGTTGTGGGTGTAGTTGGAGCAGCTGTGGTTTTTGTTGGAGCTGCTGTGGTTGTAGTGGGAGCAGTTGTGGTTGTAGTTGGAGCTGCTGTGGTTGTAGTAGGAGCAGCTGTGGTTGTAGTTGGAGCTGCTGTGGTTGTAGTTGGAGGAGCTGTGGTTGTAGTTGGAGCTGCTGTGGTTGTAGTAGGAGCAGCTGTGGTTGTAGTAGGAGCAGATGTGGTTGTAGTAGGAGCAGTTGTGGTTGTAGTTGGAGCAGCTGTGGTTGTAGTTGAAGCAGCTGTGGTTGTAGTAGGAGCAGATGTGGTTGTAGTAGGAGCAGTTGTGGGTGTAGTTGGAGCAGCTGTGGTTGTAGTTGGAGCTGCTGTGGTTGTAGTAGGAGCAGTTGTGGTTGTAGTTGGAGCTGCTGTGGTTGTAGTAGGAGCAGATGTGGTTGTAGTAGGAGCAGTTTTGGGTGTAGTTGGAGCAGCTGTTGTTGTTGTTGGAGCTGCTGTGGTTGTAGTGGGAGCAGTTGTGGTTGTAGTTGGAGCTGCTGTGGTTGTAGTAGGAGCAGCTGTGGTTGTAGTTGGAGCTGCTGTGGTTGTAGTTGGAGCAGTTGTGGTTGTAGTAGGAGCAGTTGTGGTTGTAGTTGGAGCTGCTGTGGTTGTAGTAGGAGCAGATGTGGTTGTAGTAGGAGCAGTTGTGGGTGTAGTTGGAGCAGCTGTGGTTGTTGTTGCAGCTGCTGTGGTTGTAGTGGGAGCAGTTGTGGTTGTAGTTGGAGCTGCTGTGGTCGTAGTAGGAGCAGCTGTGGTTGTAGTTGGAGCTGCTGTGTTTGTAGTTGGAGCAGTTGTGGTTGTAGTAGGAGCAGTTGTGGTTGTAGTTGGAGCTGCTGTGGTTGTAGTAGTAGCAGATGTGGTTGTAGTAGGAGCAGTTGTGGGTGTAGTTGGAGCAGCTGTGGTTGTTGTTGGAGCTGCTGTGGTTGTAGTGGGAGCAGTTGTGGTTGTAGTTGGAGCTGCTGTGGTTGTAGTAGGAGAAGCTGTGGTTGTAGTTGGAGCTGCTGTGGTTGTAGTTGGAGGAGCTGTGGTTGTAGTTGGAGCTGCTGTGGTTGTAGTTGGAGCAGTTGTGGTTGTAGTAGGAGCAGCTGTGGTTGTAGTTGGAGCTGCTGTGGTTGTAGTTGGAGGAGCTGTGGTTGTAGTTGGAGCTGCTGTGGTTGTAGTTGGAGCAGTTGTGGTTGTAGTTGGAGCTGCTGTGGTTGTAGTAGGAGCAGCTGTGGTTGTGGTTGCAACAGTTGTGGTTGTGGTTGGCACTGCTGTGGTTGTAGTAGGAGCAGCTGTGGTTGTAGTTTGAGGTGCTGTGGTTGTAGTTGGAGCAGCTGTGGTTGTAGTTGGAGCTGCTGTGGTTGTAGTTGGAGGAGCTGTGGATGTAGTTGGAGCTGCTGTGGTTGTAGTTGGAGCAGCTGTGGTTGTAGTTGCAGCAGCTGTGGTTGTAGTTGGAGCTGCGGTGGTTGTAGTAGGAGCAGCTGTGGTTGTAGTTGGAGCAGCTGTGGTCGTAGTTCGAGCAGCTGTGATCGTAGTTGGAGCAACTGTGGTTGTAGTAGGAGCAGCTGTGGTTGTAGTTGGAGCAGCTGTGGTTGTAGGTGGAGCTGCTGTGGTTGTTGTTGGAGTAGCTGTGGTTGTAGTCAGAGCTGCTGTGGTTGTAGTTGGAGCTGCTGTGGTTGTAGTTGGCGCTGCTGTGGTTGTAGTTGGAGCTACTGTGGTTGTAGTTGGAGCTGATGTGGTTGTAGTTGGAGGAGCTGTGGATGTAGTTGGAGCTGCTGTGGTTGTAGTTGGAGCAGCTGTGGTTGTAGTTGCAGCAGCTGTTGTTGTAGTTGGAGCTGCGGTGGTTGTAGTAGGAGCAGCTGTGGTTGTAGTTGGAGCAGCTGTGGTCGTAGTTGGAGCAGCTGTGATCGTAGTTGGAGCAACTGTGGTTGTAGTAGGAGCAGCTGTGGTTGTAGGTGGAGCTGCTGTGGTTGTAGGTGGAGCTGCTGTGGTTGTAGTTGGAGTTGCTGTGGTTGTAGTTGGAGTAGCTGTGGTTGTAGTTGGCGCTGCTGTGGTTGTAGTCAGAGCTGCTGTGGTTGTAGTTGGAGCTGTTGTGGTTGTAGTTGGCGCTGCTGTGGTTGTAGTTGGAGCAGCTGTGGTTGTAGTAGGAGCAGCTGTGGTTGTAGTTGGAGCTGTTGTGGTTGTAGTAGGAGCAGCTGTGGTTGTGGTTGCAGCAGTTGTGGTTGTTGTTTGAGCTGCTGTGGTTGTAGTTGGAGGTGCTGTGGTTGTAGTTGGAGCAGCTGTGGTTGTAGTTGGAGCTGCTGTGGTTGTAGTAGGAGCAGCTGTGGTTGTGGTTGCAGCAGTTGTCGTTGTGGTTGGAGCTGCTGTGGTTGTAGTTGGTGCTGCTGTGGTTGTAGTTGGAGGTGCTGTGGTTGTAGTTAGAGCAGCTGTGGTTGTAGTAGGAGCAGATGTGGTTGTAGTAGGAGCAGTTGTGGGTGTAGTTGGAGCAGCTGTGGTTGTTGTTGGAGCTGCTGTGGTTGTAGTGGGAGCAGTTGTGGTTGTAGTTGGAGCTGCTGTGGTTGTAGTAGGAGCAGCTGTGGTTGTAGTTGGAGCTGCTGTGGTTGTAGTTGGAGGAGCTGTGGTTGTAGTTGGAGCTGCTGTGGTTGTAGTAGGAGCAGCTGTGGTTGTAGTAGGAGCAGATGTGGTTGTAGTAGGAGCAGTTGTGGTTGTAGTTGGAGCAGCTGTGGTTGTAGTTGAAGCAGCTGTGGTTGTAGTAGGAGCAGATGTGGTTGTAGTAGGAGCAGTTGTGGGTGTAGTTGGAGCAGCTGTGGTTGTAGTTGGAGCTGCTGTGGTTGTAGTAGGAGCAGTTGTGGTTGTAGTTGGAGCTGCTGTGGTTGTAGTAGGAGCAGATGTGGTTGTAGTAGGAGCAGTTTTGGGTGTAGTTGGAGCAGCTGTGGTTGTTGTTGGAGCTGCTGTGGTTGTAGTGGGAGCAGTTGTGGTTGTAGTTGGAGCTGCTGTGGTTGTAGTAGGAGCAGTTGTGGTTGTAGTTGGAGCTGCTGTGGTTGTAGTTGGAGGAGCTGTGGTTGTAGTTGGAGCTGCTGTGGTTGTAGTTGGAGCAGTTGTGGTTGTAGTAGGAGCAGTTGTGGTTGTAGTTGGAGCTGCTGTGGTTGTAGTAGGAGCAGATGTGGTTGTAGTAGGAGCAGTTGTGGGTGTAGTTGGAGCAGCTGTGGTTGTTGTTGGAGCTGCTGTGGTTGTAGTGGGAGCAGTTGTGGTTGTAGTTGGAGCTGCTGTGGTTGTAGTAGGAGCAGCTGTGGTTGTAGTTGGAGCTGCTGTGGTTGTAGTTGGAGGAGCTGTGGTTGTAGTTGGAGCTGCTGTGGTTGTAGTTGGAGCAGTTGTGGTTGTAGTAGGAGCAGCTGTGGTTGTAGTTGGAGCTGCTGTGGTTGTAGTTGGAGGAGCTGTGGTTGTAGTTGGAGCTGCTGTGGTTGTAGTTGGAGCAGTTGTGGTTGTAGTTGGAGCTTCTGTGGTTGTAGTTGGAGCAGTTGTGGTTGTAGTAGGAGCAGCTGTGGTTGTGGTTGCAACAGTTGTGGTTGTGGTTGGCACTGCTGTGGTTGTAGTTGGAGCTGCTGTGGTTGTAGTTTGAGGTGCTGTGGTTGTAGTTGGAGCAGCTGTGGTTGTAGTTGGAGCAGCTGTGGTTGTAGTTGGAGCAGCTGTGGTTGTAGTTGGAGCTGCTGTAGTTGTAGTTGGAGCTGCTGTGGTTGTATTTGTTGCAGCTGTGGTTGTAGTTGCAGCAGCTGTGGTTGTAGTTGGAGCTGCGGTGGTTGTAGTAGGAGCAGCTGTGGTTGTAGTTGGAGCAGCTGTGGTCGTAGTTGGAGCAGCTGTGATCGTAGTTGGAGCAACTGTGGTTGTAGTAGGAGCAGCTGTGGTTGTAGTTGGAGCAGCTGTGGTTGTAGTTGGAGCTGCTGTGGTTGTTTTTGGAGTAGCTGTGGTTGTAGTCAGAGCTGCTGTGGTTGTAGTTGGAGCTGCTGTGGTTGTAGTTGGCGCTGCTGTGGTTGTAGTTGGAGCTACTGTGGTTGTAGTTGGAGCTGATGTGGTTGTAGTTGGAGGAGCTGTGGATGTAGTTGGAGCTGCTGTGGTTGTAGTTGGAGCAGCTGTGGTTGTAGTTGCAGCAGCTGTTGTTGTAGTTGGAGCTGCGGTGGTTGTTGTAGGAGCAGCTGTGGTTGTAGTTGGAGCAGCTGTGGTCGTAGTTGGAGCAGCTGTGATCGTAGTTGGAGCAACTGTGGTTGTAGTAGGAGCAGCTGTGGTTGTAGTTGGAGCAGCTGTGGTTGTAGGTGGAGCTGCTGTGGTTGTAGTTGGAGTTGCTGTGGTTGTAGTTGGAGTAGCTGTGGTTGTAGTTGGCGCTGCTGTGGTTGTAGTCAGAGCTGCTGTGGTTGTAGTTGGAGCTGTTGTGGTTGTAGTTGGCGCTGCTGTGGTTGTAGTTGGAGCTACTGTGGTTGTAGTTGGAGCTGATGTGGTTGTAGTTGGAGCTGCTGTGGTTGTAGTTGGAGCAGCTGTGGTTGTAGTAGGAGCAGCTGTGGTTGTAGTTGGAGCTGTTGTGGTTGTAGTAGGAGCAGCTGTGGTTGTGGTTGCAGCAGTTGTGGTTGTGGTTTGAGCTGCTGTGGTTGTAGTTGGAGGTGCTGTGGTTGTAGTTGGAGCAGCTGTGGTTGTAGTTGGAGCTGCTGTGGTTGTGGTTGCAGCAGTTGTGGTTGTGGTTTGAGCTGCTGTGGTTGTAGTTGGAGCTGCTGTGGTTGTAGTAGGAGCAGCTGTGGTTGTGGTTGCAGCAGTTGTGGTTGTGGTTGGAGCTGCTGTGGTTGTAATTGGAGGTGCTGTGGTTGTAGTTGGAGCAGCTGTGGTTGTAGTAGGAGCAGCTGTGGTTGTGGTTGCAGCAGTTGTGGTTGTGGTTGGAGCTGCTGTGGTTGTAGTTGGTGCTGCTGTGGTTGTAGTTGGAGGTGCTGTGGTTGTAGTTGGAGCAGCTGTGGTTGTAGTTGGAGCTGCTGTGGTTGTAGTTGGAGCATCCGTGGTTGTAGTTGGAGCATCCGTGGTTGTAGTTGGAGCAGCTGTGGTTGTAGTTGGAGCTGCTGTGGTTGTAGTTGGAGCTGCTGTGGTTGTAGTTTGAGCAGCTGTGGTTGTAGTTGGAGCTGCTGTGGTTGTAGTTGGAGCATCCGTGGTTGTAGTTGGAGCAGCTGTGGTTGTAGTTGGAGCTGCTGTGGTTGTAGTTGGAGGTGCTGTGGTTGTAGTTGGAGCAGCTGTGGTTGTAGTTGGAGCTGCTGTGGTTGTAGTTGGAGCATCCGTGGTTGTAGTTGGAGCAGCTGTGGTTGTTGTTGAGGCAGCTGTAGTTGTTTTTGGAGCAGCAGTGGTTGTTTGAGCTTCTGTTTCCACTGGAAATCCCAAAGCTGTAAAAGAGTTGGTTGTCAGTGTATTTTAATAATCCCATTCATTTATAATATATTAGGAGTAATTCTTTTTAAATTTATTTTTCAACTTACCAGCGCAGAGCATCAGGATGGCAAATATCTTCATCATAATTGTGGTTTATTTTTTACCCTGTTTTTTAAAATAAAACAAATCAAACCAATTATTGTGTGTAATTCAAATACATATTTTTCATTATCATGTCTTGACAATTCTTTCATCTTTTTCACTCGGTGTCCATGCTCAGTTTATTTTATCCTTTAAATAGTTCCATCCTAATGTGTAGACTTGTTTTTTTTTTTTACTGTTTTGTTGTCCTTCTCTTTCTTTTTCTTTTCTAGCACTTTCTGCTTTTTGATTTTCAAAAGAAAAGGTTTTGATTTTTCCTATTGGTAATACAAATACAGTACAAATGTTTGTACTTTGTTTTCTTCATCAGTTTTCAGTCGTTATATTACTCAATTTTTTTTTTCTTCTGGGAAATGTAATGGTCAGAAGTTTTTCATTTATCATATTTAGTATCTATTTATTTTGAAATAGCTTGTGCTGACTTCAAACAAATTTGTTTAAAACATATTCTTTCTTTTTAAAATATGTTTAAAACTTTTTTTCACAAAACTTTTCCAAAACTTCAACATTAAAGTTTTTTCATATTTTAATTTAAAAAAAGATTTATTATAGACAAACATATTTCATTAGGGTGAAAATTTGAAATATTTATCAAAAATCAGACGTTTCAGTTGAATGAAATCAAATAAGTTGTACTTACAGATTTTCTCAGACAATTATTTTTTCTCCCTGCTGTAGTAGAAGTAAGGATGTTCACTGCTTCATTCTGTTGTCTGGTTTATTGTTCGTGTTCTCCAGTTTCAGGCAGCACCTTTTATACCCATGCAGGGCCCGTCCTCTGACATCAGGTCAGGACAAAGTTGTCATATGTCTGAGCGACTAATAAGCAATGTGAACAATGCCTCATTTTAGGTGTGGCAACCTCTTTGAAATCGTTTTTTCAACCTTATATTATTCTGTATGAGCATTGAGTTCAACTGGTTGAGCTGCATGCTTTTTCCCATCAGACATCAGAACGTGACGTTGGATAATATTTGTTTTTTTTATATTCCATATCAATATGGAATATCAATCTGATTGGTCTTTGAATGTTTAATCAGACTTTAGTTTATTTTACTTATTCAGGGAACATGCACACTTCATATTACTTCAAACAGAATCAAGTATATAGTTTATAAAAATGAATTTATTTCTATTTCCCTAAACTAATGATTATACAAGACAAGGTATGAATGAAATGATGGAATGTGGGCTAGATGTTTTAGCTAAACTTTTCTTAAATATCTGAGAGGGATTGTGGAGTCTGGGGTGCAAATCAATTTGGATGTATGGTTTGATAAGCTACTGTATTTATAAATCCATCCAATGCCAGTGTGCGGAGTCTACGATACCCTTGTATGTGTCGCTCCTGGACGTCCGAAGGAAAGGATGCTCGCCGGTTCGGCCGATCCAGGGGGCAGCAGGAAACTAACCAGATCAGGAATGGATGGATGTGATGCGTCCCTGGATGTGTGCCGCAGTTTGTGGCTGCAAGTTAGGAGTTTATTTCTGTTCATTTTGTGAGCTTGTGACCGGGAAAGGCTGTGGTCATTTTTGCAGACAGGAGAAAGCAGAGCACGTCTCAGGTTGTAGAAGCTAACTGTTAGCATTAGCAACTCCACAACGTGGCAGAACTCCATCAGGCTTGTGTTATTTATGGAGATAAAACATCAATGTTGCAGAGCAAACAGAGGCAATGGAAGAGTTGCAATTCTGTTAGCCAATCAGAGGCGAGATGTCAGAATTTCATGAATATTACTGAGTAAAAATCTCAAATCCTGCCTTTTTCTACCCCCTTCTCCTCGACCAAATTCTGCTTCCTGAAACAGGAGCGCCAGAACTTTTTCCCCAACATATCAATTCATACTGGAGACCACAGAAAATGCATTGAAAAAATTGTGAATGAGAACTTTCCATTTTAAGTTATGCAAACGGCTGTTTGGCAGTAGCACTGTTGCTTTGCCACAAGTTCAAATCCATTCTCAGCTAAAGCATTTCTGTCTGGATATCATCTATTCTTCCCGTGGAAGCATAGGCACACTCCCTCAGGCCCAACATATACATGTTTAGGTTGGAAACTCTGAATTGTCCCTTAGCATGAGTAAAAGTGTGTCTGATTTTGTCTCTGCGTGATGAACTGGTTCCTGTTATGGACTGGTGACCTGTCCAGTCCATCACACCTTCTCCATTGAAATCTGTACAAGTTTTTTGCTTCCTTGTAGAAGATCTCTGTACAGTAGGAAATACGTGTCAATTTTATTATTATTATTACTACTGCTGTATAATTGCCTAATAAAATCTTCAATAATTATCAAATTGTTGTATTTAAATTAGCTTGCTCAGCCATTCGGTAGAGCATTTTGCAAGAAAAAGAGCAGTAAAACACAATAATTCTACAGAATATGGAGATGTTTGAGGAAAATGTGTAACATTATTACATTGTAATAATATTACCTTAATATTATTACATTATTATATTATTAATATTATTAATTGACGTTAATTTAAAGCCCTAATAGCCCCAAATCAAAAAAGGCAAAAGTGTAGAGTCTTCATCCTGTTTTTCTTGGTGAGGACGTTAAAGGATAAAAAGGTCAGTCTTTTGGAAAAAACATCATATTGTTATTTAGTGTCTCAGGTCGGTAGGTTTTCTTATCTTACGTAAAATGCTTTTTTAAATAAAACACTGCCTGTGTGTTCCTTTAAAATCTGAGCTATTCGTCAGCCTAACTTGTGTGTATTTTCTTCTTTTTCCTCTCTTGCAATGAGTAATTTTGATTTTACGCTCATACCAAAATAGATTTTAAAATTGCTTTTCAGCTGTGCCAGAACAGGGCGTGTTTGTGTTGCGTGTAAGACTTTAAGCTCTGAGTCAGTGAGTCCAAATATTTGTGTTGTGCGGAAACAGGAAATGTGAATCTAGAGCTGAAAAGGTGGAGACAAGAATATTTTCTTGTTCCACTAATCTGTTTACGCCTAGATTGACGACAATGACAGCTCAGTCTCGGCTGAACCGTTCATCGTTCATCAATCCGTGTCATTATGTGCGGTGTTTGTTTCTCACAGGTGGTTCTGATAAGCTAAGCTATCCGTTGTGGTTTTGAGAATAAACAAGAATAAGATTTAAAAAAATTTAAGGTTCATCTTTTTTCTTAATAGTTATTCTAGAGACTCAAACTAAATTTGTTTTGATGAACTAAAGTATTAAACGTGCAAAAAAATATAAACTGGAAAGTTCCTTGAAAATTATATTTTAACCCTCTTGAGGCAGGCGTTGCAGATTTGCAACGTTAAAACCTTACTTACCTGGTTACTCCGCATACGTATTTGATGAGCATTTTTTAACTCAGAAGTACCCCTGAAGGACTTATTTGCTTGTCCTTTTAGCAAAATGTATTTTGAGCCTGATAGGGTTAAAGTTGACGCTCATGCTTAGCAGGGATGTGTATTTTTGAAATTCTGGCGATACGATACATATCACGATACAGGGGAGACGATACGATATATCACGATATATTGCAATACATTCAGTCAGACGTTACAAGCAATTTTTTTACTGAATTTATTGTAAGAATGTTCAATAAACAATCCAAACTGATACGTAACATGTTTAACATGAAGTATCTGACCCATGATGGAGGGATTTACATTTCAATGGTGGAAACAAAACCCGTTGCACACTGCTGCCAACTAGCGGGTGGCGATTGAATTGCACAAAACGAAAAGAAAATACACAAATGTTTGCATGTAAATTCTTTCAAGAATTAGATACACGGCTTTTGAATATCAATGTAATAATCGCAGGAAAAAATATCACGATATATTGCCATATCGATATTTCCGATACACAGCTTTTGAATATCGATATAATATTGCTGGAAAAAATATCACGATATATTGCCATATCGATATTTTCTTACATCCCTAATGCTTAGGGATCCTTGATCAAACATGTTCCTTAAGTCTACATATACACCTTAAAGCAGGAGCATCCAAACCTTCCCGGATGAAGACCAAAATTGTCAAGTTAAAAGATGCAAGACTGAAAGACTTTTTGCACAGTTGACTGTGCAATGAAATTGTGGTTCGCACTTGAAAAAGATAAACATAAAAACAAAATTTTAAAATATGTTAAAAGACAGCAGCATAGAGCCGTGGGTGCAATAAGCAAGTAAATGATGAAGAGCATTGGCGGTAGACAGGGGGGTTATTTGTGTTTGAGATGGAAATGAGTGTCCTGATAATGTGCAATGGGGCATGGGTTTGTGCCTTCTGTGGTCAATGACCACCTCCTTAGTCTGCTTCTTTTAAAAAGGGTGTTGAAATCAAATTTTTAAATTTAGCACTATTCTTCAGGGAACATTCCCTAACTGTTCCCTGAAACTTACATCTTAGAGCTAACCTTCGAATAATCTTCCCTAAGGGTGGTCTGAAAGAAATATTCTGAATGTTGA